ACTCCTTCTATAGTCCATCAGGGATTTCCTGTCAGATAATATCCCCTAGATGTTCTTTTCTCTATATTAGCCATCTTCTTCACATTGTGTGCTTGAGGCTTGTCCTATCTTTGCAGCTTTTCTCAGCAATGATATCCCACCAGGGCAGCTGATGCCTGGAGCTTGCCGGCTTGCACAGAAGTCTGAGGCTGAGTGTGGGGTAAGAGGCCAGTGGCCAAAGGGAAGTGTGCAGGGCTCTCCCCCTGGAGCGGGAGCCACCCCGCCCACCCCACGTGTACACTGATGGAGACTTCTGTTGAGGATCTGGAAGAAAGTGGTGGGAAGAGCAGACAGGTGCAGCAGAAGCCAGAGACAGGGCCCACTCAGTGGGCTCTGACTCTGACCTGTTGGCCAAACTGCCTTATGTCTGTTATTAGGCACCGAGGGTCTCATCTTCTTTCTTTCTCTTTTTCTTTTTGGGTAAACTCCCCTGCCACATACAACATGTGCTCAGTGAATGCTGGTTATCTTTGCTTTGTTTTCTTGTCTCTTGTCTCTTTTCAGCCGTCCGTCACGGTAGCTGTTTCTCTCAGCTCTGGTTATTGCACGTTTAAGAACTGTGTTGACCAGTGGGGCTGGGGTTCAAGCCCTACGTCCCCAAATAGAAGCTTTTCTTGGGATTCCCTTACACAGTACCAGCACCGTTGGTTTCTAACCAGGAGGGAATCTAGTCTCGCGTATCACAAAGCTCACATCTATCCATTGAGTCTTGAGAATAAGATGGTTTTTTTCTAAAGAGAAGGGAAGTGGGGAATGAGAAAGTCAGGGGTGGCAGCAGAAAACTGCTGAGCAGAAGAGTCAATCATATGACAAATGCAACTATCTTAATCTTCTAATATGTGTGTGAAGCAGTAGGTGGCAGGGGGGAGGGGCAATGAATATTTATGCATGTATTAGGTACTTGGCAACACTAGTATATTACCTGTGTGAGTAGAAATCAAAAGACATACAAAGATACCCTCTTTAAACTCGTCAGCCTATCATTAATTCATATGTGCTTTATCACCTTGTCATCTATCTGTCTTGATATTTCTGCAAGAGGGTATTATGACTTGAATTGTGTTTTCCCAAAACATGGTGTTGAAGCCCCCCCGCCCCCCCCCATATCTCAGAATGTGCCTGGATTTGGAGATAGGGTCTCTAAAATGAGATCATTGGGATGGACCCTAAACACCTTCATTTCAGATTTCTGGCTTCAAAAAATATGTGACAATAACTTCCTGCTGTTTTAAGCCACCCAGTTTGTGGTACTTTGTTATGGCAGCCCTTTCAGGAAGCTAACACAGAAAAGAAACAGGGAGTTTTTAAAACATTAAACATTCTCAGAAAAGTAAAAATGCTTGCATATGCTCTGACCCTACAATCAATTAAGTGAATGAAAGTTAAATCTGAAATTTTTAAACCAGGGGGGCCCCCTGTTACTGCCTAAAAGATCATCCAAAGACAGGTTGGGTAGCAGGGCAATTTGCTGATAACTTGGTTCTTTCTACAACACAGTGCCCAATCAAGATATGCAACAGCAGACAGATACTAAGAACATTCACACTGCGTCCTATCATGGTGCTGAAAGAAGTTAAATTCAAGACTTTTAATTGTCAAGAGGCGCTCGTATCAAGCTACATTTCCATATGGGTTTTGGCTAACAATCATAAATAACAGAGAACTTGCTCATGAACAATCCCAAAAGGCAGTGTGTCAGGCAGATGGCATTTTGGGGGTGGGGTCAGGGAGAGTGTAACATGGCAAGCAGAGTTGTGCTTTATGTGTGTGCTGGCCATTCTGAACGTGCCATTGACTTCAGCACCACTGGGGGGATTATGGTTTTGCTCAGCTCCCAACTGAGTCTAAAGTTGCAATGCTTTAAACTTTTCATGCTAAAGAAATCAACCTTTTAATGTCATCAGAGTTCTGAAGGAGAAAATCTGCTACACTTGGGGAGAAGAACATCACACCCTAGGGAGGTAGTATCTTAGCATTCATGGATATCAAGCAAAGGTTTTCATGTTTTTAAAATTTTTTTTTAATGTTTATTAATTTTTGAGAGACAGAGACAGAGCACGAATGGGGGAGGGACCGAGTAGGGGGGGGAAGACACAATCTGAAGCAGGCTCTGGGCTTTGAGCTATCAGCACAGAGCCTGATGTGGGGCTCAAACTCAGAACAGCGAGATCATGACCTAGGCTGAAGTCGGATGCTTAACCCACTGAGCCACCCACGTGCCCCTAGGTTTTCACATTTTTTATCTCCTTGGGGGTGCCAGGGTGCTGTGTTCTATAGGCATAACCTGTAAAGATCTGCACAAACTTCACAGAGCAAGTGTGCAACTTGGAAGGGAATTTCACTTTGTCATAGAACCTTACATTCTGATTAGAAAATACTGATGCAGGGGTTCCTGGTGGCTCAGTTGGGTAAGCATCTGACTCTTGATTTCTGCTCAGGTCATGATCTCCTGGTTTGTGAATTCGAGCCCCACGTCAGGCTCTGCACCAAGGTGCAGAGCTTACTTGGGATTCTCTTTCTCTCTCTCTGCCTCTCCCCTGTTCACTCTCTCTTTCTCTCTCAAAATAAATAAATAAACCTAAGAAAAGAGAAGGTATTGATGCATTTAAGTGTCTACATATAAAATGGCTGGAAGGGACAAAGATATCAACAGAATTTGTTGAGAAGAGCGAGTTCTCACTGCACACATCCAACTACAAAGCCTTTTATTTCTGTAAAAGACATGGTAAGATGGTTTTTTCCCTCACTATAAACATGTTTAGGCTTTAACCAGTGTGGTTGGCCTAGAATAGACCCTTCTGTGTGTGTCACAGGAAGTCTTGCCCCACTCAGGCAAGTTGGTACTGGGATGGTGCTTTGATGGTCAGCTCCGATATTACCAAATCTCAGATTTGGTTTTGCATTTTTTTCATCTGGGATACACAGGCATCCTTGAAAACCACCATAAGCCTTTAGATATATATATGTAGGCTTTGAAGTGTGAGTGATATATAATATGAAGTGAGAGATTCATCTGATAGCTTGCTTTAGGCTATAAGGAAGGCATGGGAATGTGGGGTTCTTCTTGTTGGGATTCATGGATACTGGCCAAATGGCAGGTCTTTAAATGTCTTACAGGGTATGGCCAGCACATTGGTCTATACTGAATGGTTGATAAATATTAGAACTCAAAATTAAATGTCTATATCAAATAACTGAATTCTAGTGAAATACAATTAAAGTATTTCTTGGAAACAATTACCAAAATATTTTAGAATACTGACAGAATTATGAAGGAAACAGTATATTTAGGTTAATGCAAATTGATCTAGTGCTCTTAAGAAGCAATCTTTTCAAGAACCACAGAAAGCTTCTATACTTTGACCAAGTAAAGACATGTGAAGTTCATTCATTGAAGTAACCAAGAGAAGCCTCATGGATGAAAGTTATTCTTTTTTTTTTTTTTTAAATTTTTTTTTTCAACGTTTATTTATTTTTGGGACAGAGAGAGACAGAGCATGAACAGGGGAGGGGCAGAGAGAGAGAGGGAGACACAGAATCGGAAACAGGCTCCAGGCGCTGAGCCATCAGCCCAGAGCCCGACGCGGGGCTCGAACTCACGGACCGCGAGATCATGACCTGGCTGAAGTCGGACGCTTAACCGACTGCACCACCCAGGTGCCCCATGAAAGTTATTCTTAAAATTATTCTTATTATTCTTAAAATTATTAAAGTTAATTATTAAAATTATTCTTAATGGTATTCTTAAATTTTTTTAATGTTTATTATTTATTTTTATTTTTTAAACTTTTTTTATGTTTATTTATTTTTGAGAGAGAGGGAGAGACAGAGCATGAGCAGGGGAGGGGCAGAGAGAGGGAGACACAGAATCCAAAATAGGCTCCAGGCTCCGATCTGTCAGCCCAGAGCCCAACGTGGGGCTTGAACCCACAAACCGCAAGATCATGACCTGAGCCAAAGTTGGACGCTCAACCAACTGAGCCACCCAGGCGCCCTTATGTTTATTTTTGAGAGAGACAGAGACAGATCATGAGTGGGGGAGGGATGGAGGGAGGGAGACCAAGAATCCAAAGCAGGCTGAGCTGTCAGCACAGAGCCGGATGTGGGGTTCAAACCCACAAACCGTGAGATTATGACCTGATCTGAAGTTGGACGCTTAACCGACTGAGCCACCCAGGTGCCCCTCAATTTAATGTTATTCTTAATAAATGAATCTGTGAAGAACTATTTCTGATGAGAGGGGGGATGTTTAAACAAAAGATGGCCTACTAATTGAAAAGAACTTGGGGTAACTATTAAAATAACATTGTATGAACACTATGAATAATGTGTGCACCCTGGGGCTTTGTAATGGAAGTAGATTACAAAAGTACATGTTCCCTGTGATTATTATTATACACATAGGTATATTTATTTATTTATTTTAGAAATGTTTGTGAGCACTGACTATATAGCAGAGGTTGGTCCTAGGTCCTGGAGACACAAAGGTGAAAAGATTATGTTTCCTGCTCTCATTAAGGGTCAGTGCAGTTAGAAGATAGTCATGCAGACAAAAGGAAAAGGGTAGTGATTCGTAAAATGCCATTAGACAGCTGGAGACACAGCTTGGCTGAAGACACAGAAGAGTGCTTCATAAAAGAGCTAAGATTTTGGGGAGCCTGTGTGGCTCAGTCGGTTAAGTGTCTGCCTCTTGATTTTGGTTCAGGTCATGATCTCATGGTTCACGAGTTCAAGCCCCACATTGTGCTCCATGCTGACAGTCTGGAGCCTGCTCGGGATTCTCCTTCTCCATCTCTCTCTGCCCCTCTCCAGCTTGTGTGCACTTTCTCTCCCTCTCAAAAATAAATAAATAAACTTTAAAAAGGTGCTAAGATTTTTATATGGACCAAATTTGAAAGGCAATGTAGAGAAAAGTAATCAGTTGTATAAGGGTAGAGTTATTAGAAGTAACTTAAAAAAATTTTTTTAAATACCTTTATTGGGATTTAATTCACATATTATAAAACTTACCGTTTAAAGTGTACAATTCAGTATTTTTTGGTGTATTCATGGAGTTATGCAAACATCACCACAATCTAAGTTTAGAACATTCTCATCATCCCAAAGAAATGTTGTATTCTCACTCTTCCAGATTTCTTCCAACATTAAATGTCTTTATAATAATGAAAAATCAAAGCATAAAGACAGAAACGTTTGATCTCTGCTATTGTGGGAAAGCTGTACGTTGTGTGCAAAACAGACCACAAGTACGTCATCGTGTCTTTAATTTTTCATTTTATTAGTGACAAGGTTAATAGGCATGTGAAAATCTTCACAGATATCTACACATGTATTTAAATAAAAGAAGAAAAAAAAGGAGTTGAAAAAGTGGGGGTTTCAGTGGTGACTAGTCCATGTTTATTTACTGTATAAAAATCTCCAAGTGTATAAAACTTGATTTGCCCATTTTTTCCACGTCTTCTAAGCCAGCTGTAAGAATTTCAAAAGGGATATCTAAGATATACATAGACTCTAACAGAAGCATGGTACAACATGAATTATGAAAGTGATCGGCAGTGTTATGGCGAGAAGCAGATACTCTCAGTGCATCGACAGAGTGTTCCTTAAGCGGCGGTGCTGCTCGGGAACCGATGACTGGTGGGTTCACCTGACCTCAGGTGCCCCCTTTCCTCCATTTGCTTCCACATCTGAGGTGGCAGAGGGGGCCACTGTGTGTGTGATGGTCCTCTGTCAAATGTCCGTCTCTGCAGAGAGGACCACTCTTGGCTGAGACTGTGAGGAAACCTCAGATCTCGCTCCGTTCCGGGTCCTAGTCTTGTTCCTGGCATCTGTCCTTTCCTCTGGGTGTCTGTGTGACCCAGCTCATGGGGTCCTACATTTATGTAGCCCTAGGGGTTCTGAGTTTCTTCACGAATGTTAACTTAAAAGGCAATGGGTGGGTTTTCTCAGGGTCCTTCTAGAACCCCAAATCCTTAGGAGCTAATCTCTCTTGGCCCAAAGTCAGGCATGATGACAAGAGTTAGGGTGTTATGTGGGGGCGGAGAAACCTGTTTGGCACTCCTCCAATCCCATATAGACAGCCACCTCCTTGCCAAACCAATTCTACCTGGAGGACTAACACAGAAGACCTGCAGAGGCTGGTGTGGGACCCTCAAACTCTCTGAGGCACCTGCGGTTCTCACCCACAGTCGGCCATATGCCCTGGGAGCCAGACTTCTGTCCTTACAGACTTGAAACTGCTACCGTGACAGGATTTAATTCACAACTGGGAAAAATATGAACTGTGTCAGAGTATCCTTCCATGAGCCTTGCATTTGGTTTCCAAGGAAGATCTGCAACTGTAGCCAAATGGCTGGCCTCCAGGCTAAGGCACAACAGAAAATTTAGTGTCTGTGAGTTTGGCTCATCTTTCAAATAAAGTGTGATTGCTGACGCTGGGAATACAACTTTTCCAACTGCTTTGTAAACCTAAGGATTTTGGTCCACTTGCTCGATTATATGTAATAGGATATTAATTAAAAAAATAACTAATGCCAGTGTAAACATACATGCTTTAGATACGTAGGTCTATAAAATATTGCACATCAATATAAAATTTGTTCAGCATTTCTTCATGGTAATTTTTCATGATCATAAAAAGGCTACAAAACTGTGCAGATTATATAACTTTGGCTGGTCAGGTTTACTTCAGAAACGATGACATTACACATGACTATGGATTATTTACAAGAGTTTTAAACATCAACTTTCTGTGGTGGTTAAATTTTAGGTGATGGGAGAATAGCTTAAATAAAGGTTATTTTCTGAAGTTGTGTATTATAAAGATTAGCGGTAAAAATGAGTAGTAAGGTTAGAATAGGAAATTCTAAATAAAATTCTTAGGAATCCCTTTTCTGGGTTCATCTCACATCTGCATAACTTTGTATTTCTTTCCCATGTATGCTTGATGTGTCTTCTCTGTGTATATAGATTTGAGGAATAGTAGAGAAATAGGTTATTTAATCCCAAGCTAAGTATTGCTGTTGTTCCTTATAGATATTAAAAATAATGTTTACCCATATTGTAAAACTGTTTTTGTATCAATGGACTCAGAAATTTTACCCTTACTTTTAAACACCACACAGGTGTGAGAGGACCTTGAAATCTGTGTATTGCTAATTAAGTCAATAGAAAGCATTTTTTTTTTTTTGTATGAAAGGAAATATAAATACAACTTTTTGCCAAGCTAAATCAAGCAGATGTGAGTCCTCGGAAAGTGTGAATCCAAGTGATTTCAGGTGGCAGGCAGCTAAGTATTAAGGGAAACTGTCTGCTTTTTCTTAGCGCTGTCTAAAGATGTTCTGTGAATTTATCTGCACCAGAGGGTTACCTTAGAAGGAAATTTAGTGAGTGATTTTGAGAACCAGCTAACCAAATCTTAATGTCCAAATCTTGTAGATGACCAGGATATCTGCCCAGAGACATGGAAAATAAATAAATAAATTGTTATCCCCAGTTACAAGATTATCTTTGTCGTTTCAAAAGTACTTTCACAGTACCAACAACATATGCTTGTCTCCCTGAGCCATAACTTCATTAGAAATGCTTCTTTTCCAAGGGAGGTGTCAAATATTCCGCTGGATACAGTAGTGTTGGAAGGTTCGGTCCTAGTTCACCTTCTGAAGTTGACCGTAATTCCGATAGTTCATCTCTGCGACTTGAGTTGGATTTACCTGGAAAGCAACTTGAGTTCCCATGCCCATTTCAGAGTGTCTGCCAAAGGCAGAATGACTAAAGCAAAAGATGTCTTCCGTGATGGCTAATGGTTTCCACAGTGTTGAGGACGTTACCTCTCCCAGAAGGGTCTCTGGGCTCCGTGGCGTCTTCTCCAAAGTGCAGCACAGATGAGGTGATCTTTCTGGGGCCCTTCCATTTCCTAGGTCGCTGGTGGGTACAGGGAAACCTTTGTTTAACCTTTATGTTCCTTCTTTGCTTTGAACAGGACCAGTGTTCGAGTGTCTTGAACTTTGCTTTTGCTTTTCATGTCTCAATGGTTTTCTCATCTGTGAGTTGTTCCCTGTCATTCATGTCATCCTGGGGTGGTCTTGCTCTGTCAAAGAATCCGCACTGTGAAAAAGAGAAACGGGCTATACAATCAAGGTGTTCTGGGAATGGGTGAAACTCCTCGTTCTAAGAATTTTCACTTTATTGTATTTTCTATAAGAAACTGAAGCTCTGTGGATATTATCTGACCAATTCTCTGAATTAGGAGGGGAAAGCCGAGGATCCTTTACCTGCGGTGATGAATTTATTGCATAAGGCAGAGTGTTCGTGCTAGTGGGAGAATTTCCCTGTGTTATATAATCCACTTAGGGACCTCGTATATTTTTCCTGAGATTATAGCAACAAGGCCCAAAGATTTCCTCTCTGCTTTTCTGCATGTTTTTTGGAGACAGCAGAAGTCCTAACTGCTGCTGGCCAGGGAAGGGGGACTCTCTCCTGAAGTGTGTCATAGGCTATCTCAGGGTGGAATTTAGGATAAAGAGAGGAGAAACTTGCATATCCCTCTGTACTTGTGGAACACAGAGCATATACAGGAAAAGTAGATTGTCATTCTTTGTCTAGAAAGGTCATTCCTTTAAATCCCAGAACATCTAAGCAACTTTCTAAAGATCAACCAACAACTTGGGGAAGAAGTGATTCTAGAATCTTAATCCTCCTGAATTTCAAATTAGTATTTGGTCTAGGAGAATCTAACTTTCCCTAGAAATCTTGACCTCAATTCTTATTTATTGCTTCTTACACCAGAAGCCAAATGCATTGGGTTTTGTTGATAACTATTGAGTTGTCTTTTTTTTTTTTTTTTTTTCTGCAAGACTAGGACCATATTCTGTCAATTGTCACACTATCATTTATGGAAACAAAGATGGTATAAATAACAGAATAACACAAAGGTCTATTTCAAAAGGTAAAAAATTGAGTAGACCGTGTAGGCTCAGGATGGCACCAAACAATTGATAATGATCAGGAAAGCCGTTATTTAACTCACATGGCAAGGTTTTCTCCATTTTTTAAGCATGCCACATATTGTTTTAAAATAAAAATACACTATGATTTTGGGGAACCCTAACAATAGTGGTTAACTAAGATGTGACTAGATTAATTACTCTTACAGTCATGTAATTGTGCCACTGTTTCTTTTTTGGAATGGAAAGGTCTGTGAAACTTGGCAGTCGTGTTGGTTTTCAGGCCAGAAACACATGAAAGAATTCATTAAGCTTTCCTAATGGAGATGGACTTATTGGCAAGATCAAAAAAAAAAAAAAATTCCAAGCATATAACATGCATGATCTATTTGGCCCAAGAGTCCAAGTATCAGTTAACTACTATATTAATTGCATTTGTGGTGCTTAAAAAGAAACATCTCAAACAATTGCTGATGGGACCATGTCAGCAAAAAGCTTGAAATCTTGATTAATTAAACAAGAAAAAGAAGGCTTCACAGTAACATTTTCACCACAAGTATATTGGAAAGAAGATCACAGGTCTTAGCTAAGAAAGTCTAACTTTCTCTGTATTTATTTACAAGAAATCTCCAGATAAAAGCAGCATTAAACACTCTTGGTCTTCTTAAATATCAGCTACACAGGCATAGTAAGTTTGCCAAGACAAACAAGACACAATTTTCCCTTTATGTCTGTTAAAAATCCCCAAATCGTGCCTCTGGCATTGTCTTTTCAAATCACTAGGTGTATCCTTGTAAATCCCCTCAGTGGCCTCTCTACTCAAAAAGAAAAACAAAATAAATAAACTTACCTTCCATAAAGCTAAGGTTAAGATGGCCAGAACCAATAATCCAAGAAGTATTGCTAGTATTATTACCCATAATGGGATTGAGAAGGAAACATTTGGGGTTGCCCAGATAACTGATGTCTTAATCTGAAATGGAAAATAAAGCAAATGACCTCAAATTTGAAAACTGTTGGGTGAAATAAAGTAGTAATTACCATACAATACTGGGAGTAGTTCTGAAAAGATCCATGTAATAGTTGAAATCATCCTAGGGGAGATCTGAATGTCTACAGAACTCAAACATAAACTCTTAAAAAAACAGCACATTCTGAGGCCTCCTAGGTTGAATGGAAGATCTAATTACAGACACTTGGTGGGTGTTTGGCTTAGAACAGCCCAGAAACCCTGGAATGGAATTGAAGTGGATCAAGACTGAGAACCAACAAGGTGAAAAGGAATGACCTTAAATTGGGCTGGACCTTTTGTGGCAGTAATGACTGCCATTGACCCTATGAAAGGCCAAGTCTGTCCACACACATTTCTCTTCAGAACTGGGCTAACCTCACTGAGAAGTGAGTTGAATTGGATCCACTGGACTGTTGAATGTGCAAAAAGATTAGAAATCACCTAATATAACCACCACTACCCCCCCCCCACCATTTTATTGATGAGAAGATTGAGTCCCAGAGGAGCTAAGTGAGTCACACAACTAATTAATGCCACCGCCTCTTTATCTCTAGCTTCTGTGTTTATGATGGCCCACAGCCTCACTAGCCATCTTGGAGTTTATGGAAGTAAGCAAAGTGAATGCTAATTGTCTGGATACATTGGGGTTGCCTTCAATCCTAGATCCAGTTTTCGGTTGCTATTAGAACTCATTTCATTCCCCACTGTTGCAAGGGAATTTGGAGGAAAAGGAGACCTTCCCAGCAGGACTGCATGCTCAGTGTCCATGAACCACCCCTCCCCTCCCCCATGAGCAGAAGCCTCTCCCCTGTTGCCCATGTGCTGGGGAAATGTGTCTTTGGAGACCCCGATGGCAAAGAAGCTGTAGACCCCCAGACAAAACCAAGAGACGCAGTCACGCTGCTAACACCTCTGCCAAAGAAAATAGAAATGAAAATGTTCTTGGATCTGAAATGTTATTCATCCAGGCAGGTCTATCTGGTTTTAGAGAGAAGTAAGTACTGCCTCAGTTAAACCAGGCAGAGTGCTCCTCGTTTTAACTGTGTTGGTTGGAAAGATCATAGGTCCAGTTCTGATACATGTTTGGGACCTCTAGGTCACATTTCTCTAACCCACTAATCAAGAGATGATGGACTCATAGCAAAGGTTGGTGGCTCTGGAATGTGTCTTGGCTGGAAATGTATGGGTGTTTTCATAGCCTGTACCCAAGTATTGGGCCCTGACCATGATCACCTCCTTCCTCTGCCTTCTTAACTAGATTGGAGCATCCTGCCTCTGGTTTTCTCAGCTTATTAGGCTTTTCACCGCTCCTTCATCTTGGTCCATTTCCCCTATGCAGCGGACATACTGATGACTTAATTCTCTCAATTCTCCGGTCCCAAGTATCATTGATATCCAGACCAAACAAAGGCATCAACAGTAGTGAGTCTGCTAGTCATTCCACATGCTCACTAGTGCCAGGGACTTGCTCCCTGCTCTCAGTGAGGAAAAGGCTGGCCATAACCTCCTCACCATTTATACCTTCCTCCTTTGCCCGTTAATGCCCATTGCCAGCACAGTCCCTATTTCATCCAACACATCAGCAGGAAGTGCAACAATTCCATGACCATGATGGGATTACCCTCGCCCTGCTTGTTGCAGTCTAAGGACAGGACACACGGCATGTGAAGAAATGATGCACTGAAGGACTGAAAGCAGTCACAATGCCACCTGGATTCTGCAGCCTAAGTGACTTACTCTAAAACAATCCTTTGCATGTATATGGCAACATGAGCAAGATAGGGACTGATGACTTCTGAATCACTTCCCTTTATATTCTTTTCCCTTAGTAAATTACATCTAATACCTATGAAGTCAGTGCTCAATCCTCCTCTTAAAGTGTTTGGAGGAAGGACATGAGGTGATCTTTCAAAATGAAATAACATTACTGGAAGCAGACTCAAACAGTTTTGGTAATGAGAATTTCAGAATTTTGAAACTACCAGGGATGGTATTGATCATGTATGTATTCACTGGCCAGTTAGGGTGGCCCAGGAAAGAGAAAATCTGGAGCCACGGCCAATTCTGGGGTTTCTTATAAATGTTTCTTCCCCCCGAGCTCTAATTTCACTGAGGAAACAACATAGTTTCAGGCTATATTTGGTGCATGTGTTAGAGATTGCCAGAATTTACTAGTAGGTACTTTACAGTAATACAGCTAAAAGGGTTGAAAGAAAGTCCATAGACTATTCTGTTCATATTGTTAGTTTAATAAAAAGCAATGGATTGGGAGAAGAGCTAACAACTTTGCTGGGTTTCTTGGCTACTGTAGGCTTTGATGTTATTATTTAAAAAGCTTCTCATTCTTGGGGCACCTGGATGGCTCAGTCAGTTGAGCTTCTGACTTCAGCTCAGGTCATGATCTCGCGGTCTGTGAGTTCAAGCCCCGAATCGGGCTCTGTGCTGACAGCTCAGAGCCTGGAGCCTGCTTTGGATTCTGTGTTTCCCTCTCTCTCTCTGCCGCTCCCTGCTCATGCTCTGTGTCTCTCTCTCTGCCAAAAATAAATAAACATTAAAAAAAATTAAAAAAAATAAACTTCTCATTCTGTAGAAACAGGTAGGGAGGTCGCTTACAAAGAATAATGCTACATATGAAGACTTTTTTTTGCAGCAATGATGGAAAAATACGAATAAAATATTAAATTGAACAGGATATGCTTATTAGAGTCTCTTGAAGCAGAGAACAGCTTATAGGTACAATTACAAAATCTATTGGCTTTTTGTTTGCATTCACTTCCAAAGATGCTGACAGTAGTGTCTTAAAAATGTCTGAGACCAGATGATTGCTACTGTCCTTTTCAGTTCCAAAATTCTGAAATTCTCATCACCCAAACTGTCATCAGTTTTCTCCCAGTAACATTATGCTCACTTAAAAAATACCACTTCATGGGGCGCCTGGGTGGCCCAGTTGGTTAAGCGTCTGACTTCGGCTCAGGTCATGATCTCATGGTCCGTGAGTTTGAGCCCCGCGTCGGGCTCTGTGCAGACAGCTCAGAGCCTGGAGCCTGTTTCAGATTCTGTGTCTTCCTCTCTCTCTGACCCTCCCCCGTTCATGCTCTGTCTCTCTCTGTCTCAAAAATAAATAAACGTTAAAAAAAAATTAAAAAAATAATACCACTCCATTCCCCTTCTCTGGGTATTTTAAACGTTAAGATTACACATGTCATGTACATTTCCTGTAAATCATCATATGTAATTAACCAGGAGGAAAGGACAAAGAGTTCTAAAAGAACACAAACTCAAAAACTTTCCTGCTGTGCCTGCATTCTGCTTTGCTTGCCAGCTGCCTTTAGGACATCCATGTGGCACTGAGGCTGACCAATCTTCTCAATCTAAAATGGGAGCAGCTGCAAAGACCTTCCTTGGCCCCTGGTGTTTTCCTAAACTTATCTAGGCTTTTCGCTGCCTAGTCAAGAAGTCACTACACCAAGGCCAGTGGGAATATGGAAAATCAACAACACTGCCCCAGAGCATTTCTCCAGATTCCCAGGGCAGGAGAGCGCATCGGTTGTTGCTGGAAAGAGGTGGATGAAGAGTCAAGTGTAACACGTCATTGGAAGAGTCACACATGTCTTGGAAAGAGAAGTCTTTCTGAAAACACATTGATCAGGGAGTCATGTGACATATTCATGTCTATAAATGGCAATGGGGGCATTTCATCCGTGGGTGGAAATAGGTAAAGCCCAGCCTTTCGTGAAACTCAATGCTTTGTATAAATTAGAAACTTGAACTGCACAGGCAAACTTACTAGGGAAAGACTTAATTGACTACTTTTATATGACCAAAGCTTATTTAAATCTGTATCACTGCTATGGAAATTTCAGAATGGTTTGGGAAAGCTTGGCACAAAATAAAATGTTGGAAAATACTGAAGCTTTGTTACTCATTGTTTATGTTCATCTTGCAGCTCATTTTGATAAGCCCACAAGAAGCTTACATTATCCATTGGAAAATAAATAGTAAGAAAAATAGGTCTTAATTGTCAGAGTTTGTCATGACTAAACACTAATTTACTGTAATAATTTTTCACTCATTTCAAATAAGACTTATTTAACACCCCAATGTTCTCTGGAGCTCTGTAGCTATTATCACCAGCTCCAAACTGGAACCTTGTATAACCCTGCAATAATAGATCAGTGCTGTCCAACAGAAATATAATGCAAGCCACATGTGTAACTTAGGAATTTTTTGAAAGAGGAAAAAGAAACATGAGACATTAATTTTAAGAATTTATTTAACCCTAAATATCCAAACTATTATGTCAACATGTAGTTGATATAAAAATATCCACAAGACATTTTATTTATTTTTATTTTTTATTTTTTTTAACGTTATTCATTTTTGAGAGACAGAGCCCAAGCAAAGAGAGAGGGAGACACAGAATGTGAAGTAGGCTCCTGGCTCTGAGCTGTCAGCACAGAGCTTGATGTGGGGCTCGATCGAACCCACAAACCGTGAGATCATGACCTCAGCTCAAGTCAGATGCTTAACCGACTGAGCCACCCAGGCGCCCCTCCACAAGACATTTTAAATTCTTTTTTTTTTTTTAACAAAGTCTCCAAAATCCAGTGTGTATTTGATATTTGCAGCATATAACAACAAACCAGATTTTCAGTGGTAAAAGCAAAATGTAGTCTCACCAAAAAAATATAGCTGCATTTAATGGACAAAAAATCTTAGACTGCTACAGTTTTTAGGTTTACATTTAAATGAGTTAAGATGAAGTCAAACTTCTAGTTTACTTCTTCAGTCACAGTGGCTACATCTCAGGTACTCACTATCCACCTGTGGCTGATGGCTACCATACTGGACTACACAGTTCTAGAACATTCTGTATAGCCTCACACAAAGGTGTGATTTGCCCGATTACCTAAGCCCCTCCTTGTAAGAATCATTCATCTAGAAGGTGGTCCGATGGCAGAAAGGGTGTATTGAGGACTAAAGGTTTCCTTTAAAAATGCAAGTGATTATATATTTGAGCTGCTTTCAGAAAGAAGGGTAGGGGCACCTGGGTGGCTCAGTCGGGTAAGCAGTTAAGCGTCTGACTTTGGCTCAGGTCATGATCTCACTGCTCGTGAGCTTGAGCCCTGTGTCGGGATCTGTGCTGACAGCTCGTAGCCTGGAGCCTGGAGCCTATTTCAGATTCTCCATCTCTCTGCCCCTCCCCCACTCATGCTCTGTCTCTCTCTCTCTCTCAAATATCAATTAAAAAAAAACATTAAAAAATAAAAGAAAGAAGGGTAATGTTGACTAACTGAAGTACTTAAAATTTAGGGTGAAAGGGGCGCCTGGGTGGCGCAGTCGGTTAAGCGTCCGACTTCAGCCAGGTCACGATCTCGTGGTCCGTGAGTTCGAGCCCCGCGTCGGGCTCTGGGCTGATGGCTCAGAGCCTGGAGCCTGTTTCCGATTCTGTGTCTCCCTCTCTCTCTGCCCCTCCCCCGTTCGTGCTCTGTCTCTCTCTGTCCCAAAAATAAATAAACGTTGAAAAAAAAAAATAAAATTTAGGGTGAAAAACTTAAGTGTGTGCCAACCAAACAACAAACTGTTTCAATTCATCTTTATCAAGAACCTGCAGCTATTTAAAGAAATAGTATAAAATTTTAACAATTCACTTATTATAATTATCTGCAATCTTAGGAAGTGAGATCCATAAATTATAAATGGAATTTAAACTTTCTTAAAGTGATGCTAAGTAGGGAACATTTAATCTTACGTTCATCATGTCATAAATCTCGTTCTTTATTACGGTTGAAGGACCATATATAACTTTTTAATATGCCTACATTTTATCATTGACGTTTATGATATGTTTTTGTATATTTGATAAAATACCAAGGTAGAAGGAAAAAGCTCCCTTGTATTTGCAACTGTAATTAATGTTGACATCTGTATTTATGTCTCACAAAATCTTGTGTAAACATACTTCATAGGGGTCGCAAGAATGGTTTAAATGTACCAAGATACCCTACCTATGGTGCCATTTAGAATTAAATAATAACATAAAGTGGACCAGCTGAACACACATTTTAACATTTCAATGGCCCCTATGAGATCAGCAGTTTGAACTCCACAAATAATTGTTGAATATAATAACTCTATTTTAAGGTTCTAAAGCTGTGCTAGCAATGAAATGGATTTACAGTTTCTGTGTGAGGTTTTTTCTTTAAAAATATTTTTTAATGTTTATTTTTGAGAGAGAGAGAGACAGAGCATGGACGGGGGAGAGGGCGAGAGGGAGACAAAGAATCCAAAGCAAGCTCCAGGCTCTGAGCTGTCAGCACAGAGGCCGATGCGGGGCTTGAACTCAAACCGCAAGATAGTGACCTGAGCCACCCAGGCACCCCTGTATGAGGTTTAAGGAAAGATTTTCATTAACTAGTTTCTAATAACTACAGTTGGAGTTACTAGACAATAATATTCCCTTTCTGGATGTAAATTATAGAATTTGGCTTTAGTGGCACCACATACAAATGCCAAAGATGATTATTAAGCAAAGTGTTCAAATAACTGAATCCTGTTTTTTTCTCTGCTGCACTGTAATGACTCTGTGTTCAGTCTATTCCTTGCCTCATGCAACCTTTCCCTCACCTCTGAACACGGCAAGAGTCATGCTTCATGAGTTCATTTGTCACAAACAGACATCCTGCAGGTAGCAAATGGGGATTGCTCTCTTCTTCAAAGAAGCTCACACCGGGCTCGAAAAAATGGCTGAATCATGACCTTGTTGCCAAGGAAGTACAAACAAACTAATCAACCCGCACAAGGGCCTAGGAAAACAAGCCACCAGTCTCTAGTCTCGTCACAAAAAAAGTATCCAAGAAGGTTTACCCAATGGCAGAGTAGGGATTGGGGTTCATAGTTATGATTCCCAACTACCCATTCCAACTGATTTAGCGCCTTAAAGCAATTCTCTTCTGCTGCTTTCTTTTCCATATAAGAAGGACCTTTGAGAAGAACTTGCTAGAAGAAAACATCAGCCAGCCCAAAGCCCAGTCCTCTCAAAGCAAGCCACAGGAAAATCATTTCCCTTGAGCGTGAGGTGGGGCAGATCTGCGAGACCTCAGAGAACCTTCATTCCGAAATGTTTTCCCAATAACCTTCATATCCATGATGTGGTAAATCATTCACCCCAGATAACAAGGCTTTTGAAAAATGCAATGACAGGAGTGGTGGGGATGGGGGAAGCACATGTATCTGATGATTTTGTGGATCTTTTGAGATGGGTTGAGAACAGCAGGCTGTCACCTGTGGCCAGTGCAGAAAGACTGTTGATGGGACTGACTGTAACATATGTTTCTTTTATGAAACACATGCTCGGAGAAAACAAAGGGACCCAGATTTATCTCCCTTAGAGCAACAAGCCTTTGAACCTCTATGGAAGAACATCCTATATTAAAAACCCAAAGCCTCTGTCTTCTAGGTTGAACATAAATCCAAACTATGGTAGACATCTTGCTAAGGAAAGAGAGATGAGCCACATAAAGAAAGATGTGGCAGTGCTTACTTTCAAATGCCACCAAAGTTTACTCAAATACTTTGACATTTCCAGTTTGGGCTTCCTCAACCTAGAGGGAGAGGGTAAGGCATTTTGGGAGGGTTGCTATTACTGACTTGAATACCTTGTTCTAGGTGTAATGCTTGGGCTCCTCAGACATCATTTTATTAACCTTCTCGACAATGCTTTCAGGTGAATATGGTTAACAGCCCCAGCGAAGCAGAGTGATTTCCTGAAAGTTTCTTAATTAGAGTGGGCGGAGCCAGGATGAAGCCCGGAGAATGTGTGTTTTTTTTTTTAACTGTTTTTCAATTTTTTTTTAAACGTTTTATTTATTTTTGAGACAGGGAGAGACAGAGCATGAACAGGGGAGGGGCAGAGAGAGGGAGACACAGAATCTGAAACAGGCTCCAGGCTCTGAGCTGTCAGCACAGAGCCCGACACGGGGCTCGAATTCACGGACCGTGAGATCATGACCTGAGCCGAAGTTGGACGCTTAACCGACTGAGCCACCCAGGCGCCCCCCGGAGAATGTGTTTTGAAGCACATTGGAAAGGTGGGTCTTGCTCCGTGCTGCCAGACTAGATGCTAGAGATTCTCAGTGCTTTCAATGTTTTGGGGGTTTTTTGTTTTGGTTTTTTTTTTGAGAGAAAGTGAGCACAGGGCAGGGGCAGAGAGAGAGAGAGAGAAAGAGAGAGAGAGAGAGAGAGAGAGAATCCCAGCAGGCTCTACACCATCAACACAGAGCCCACCGTGGGGCTCAGTCTTAACCACTGCGAGATTACGACCTGAGCCGAAATTACAAGTTGGATGCTTAACTGTCTGAGCCACCCAGGCGCTTTTAAAATATTTTTTTTTTTCAACGTTTATTTATTTTTGGGACAGAGAGAGACAGAGCATGAATGGGCGAGGGGCAGAGAGAGAGGGAGACACAGAATCGGAAACAGGCTCCAGGCTCTGAGCCATCAGCCCAGAGCCTGACGCGGGGCTCGAACTCACAGACCGTGAGATCGTGACCTGGCTGAAGTCGGACGCTCAACCGACTGCGCCACCCAGGCGCCCCCCAGGCGCTTTTAAAGCACAGTGCCAGACCTACTGAATCCTGATGTTTGGGGTGAGGGCTTAGCATGTTTCTATCTTTAAAGTCACATGAGTGATGCTTCTTTGCATATTCAAGAGTTGCAAATCACTAACCAATGGATTCATCTAGTTTAAATGACTAAAAGTAGATCAGGCTATAGAAAGATTAAATTTTGTAATTACATTTAAGACCTAGGCTGATAAGACACATTATGATAGTATCAACTTATATACCATCCACAACAGTGCTTCTCAAATTGTTCTGGGTACACGATGCCCTGATGATTTTGAGAAAATGAAGATTCTAACTCAGCAGGTCTGAGTTGGCTGTCAGTAAGGTTTAATAGCCTCAATTTGAAAATAACATTTCATTCAAATGAAGCTCATAGTGTACTTTTCTTTTCAGGTGAAAATTATAGTTCTTTGCCTAGAAAGGAAAGATGACTGTCTAAGGTCATCCAGCTGTCCCTAAGGAAGAGACTCCTTCCTCCCCACCTCACTCACCATGCTGTCCTTAAAGTTAAACAATCAGAAAATAAGTAAATAAATAAACAGAATTAAACAATCGGGGCAATTTCATTATAATGATCATTGCTATCTGGACTCCTTTCAAACAAAATGGCTTGATTAAAAAGTGATATTAGTCTGGGGCACCTGGGTGGCTTAGGTGATAAAGGATCCAACTCTTGATCTCGGCTCAGGTCATGATCTCATGGTTCATGAAGTTCAAGCCCCGCCTCAGGCTCTTCCCTGACGGCGTTGAGCACGCTTGAGATTCTGTCTCCCTCTCTCTCTGCCCCTCCCCTGCTTTCTCTCTCTCTGTCTCAAAATAAATAAATAAACTTAAAGAAAAGTGGTATCAGTCCTGCACTCTCAAGTTTCTCAAGTTAATGTAATGAGCACTTAAATGTAGCACAAGTTGAATAGTGATTTAAAAAATGATTAGTTCAGTGAAATTACTGTGCGTCTATATTTTTCAGATACTTACTCCTATGCTCCCCTCTGGGAGTTTTGCTGGCTGATCTTGATAAGGCATCTTCTTAACTTTGAAGGACACCAGGGATGCAAGAGAATAGGGATCATTTTTTCTCTGAAATTAAAAATATATATTTAAATATATTCCATGTAAATCTTTTAGAAGTTACAATGGCAGCCAACTGTTTTCAGTGTCTCCCATTTCCAAAGCAAAATTCCACCTTCTTTCTTTCTTCTTTTTCTCTCTTTAAATAAATTTTTCCCCATCCAATGATCCATCCATCCATCCATCCATCCATCCATCCATCCCGATATCTTTGTAGATATCCACGCAACTGTCCATCTAACCGTCCCCCCAACAATCCATCCTCTTCTTAGTTCTAAAAAGAATTTGGCTTATTAACAAAAGACTTGGTACAATGATGTTAGAATAAAAGCAGAGCATCAGAGTCCCTAAAAGGAGTTTAGTAATCCAGCACAAGGATTACTACAGTTGCTGCGAGTGAAGAACAAAAGGCAGGTATAGTGAGTTACAAAACTCTTATTATATGATAGAGGGAACCGTTTTAGGAGAGAGACTGGTACTAAATTATAAAGGAATTGATCACATTTCATCTTATCAGAAGACCCGGGAAGGCTCTCTCAGTCTCCGTACTGTTAGGATTTGGGTTGAACGCGGGACTGTCCTGAACACTGCAGGATGTATAGCAGCAGCTGTGGTCTTTACCCGCTAGATGCCAGTAGCACCTCAACCCCAGGTGTGATAACCAAAAATATCTGTAATTATTGCCAATGTCCCTGGGAAGCAAAATCCCCTTGGTTAAGAACCACAGACTTAGAGCCATAGCGTTTTTGAGAGAACTTTTCAGCATAAATTTTTGTCTGTTTGTTTAATTGGTTCTCACATTAACTGTTGATTAAAGCCAAAGGAAAATATTTAAGAGCAAGTCAAGGAGAGCCGTTTTGAGAATGTAAGCCTCTGGTTCTCCTCCATTTAACTTGAGACAGTGATTACAGCTATCCAGTCTTGGGCTGTAATTGGCTCGCAAGGCTCTTGAGAGCAGAGTGTTAAAATTTCAGCAGTTTTGAGTATCACTAGTTAAACAGAGCCATTATTAAAGTTTAAATATACATAACCTTCAGAAAATTATATTTTTAAAAAAGTAATACACACTCAAAGCTCACTATTTCTTAATTATTTTATTATATTTTACTGGTATCTGTGCTCTGGATATTATTTAGGTCTATTGGACCTGGGAGTGGAAATACTACGTGATGGTGTACAGGAGCCTCACCTCCCAATTCCGTATTTGGTGACATTGTGTTGGCAGCTTGAAATCGGCCATGGTGGGGATATTTACACCATGGGAATCAGCAAATGCTACATACTGGACCTTTTCTCCCGCTCCCCCAGAGCAGTTTATTAAACATTCACAAGCACTTCCCCACCTATAATCCAGTGTTGGGTTGCTTGCGGCCAGTCTATCAGGTTGGATTGTAATAATTTTGTTTACATTTTTTTTTAGAAAGTTCTTTTTTTTTTTTCCCCTGTGGCTGAATTTTTTCCCTCCCTTCAATAAACCCCATTTCCTCTAGATGATAAGCATAGGCTAGACCATGCAAAACTTTTAAATACTTGAAGTCACTCTATCTTTGACTTTTTCTTTGTTTCTACCCTAACATTCCAGGATAAGTAACTTTATTCATTTGGAAAAAATTCTTTTTTTGGTGGCTGCTGTCTCCTGGCTTTTCCATTTTACCCGAAAGCTGGATTTTTTGTTTGTTTATGTGAGAGGTGTTTTTTCTTGAATTTTTTTTTTTCAACGTTTATTTATTTTTGGGACAGAGAGAGACAGAGCATGAACGGGGGAGGGGCAGAGAGAGAGGGAGACACAGAATCGGAAACAGGCTCCAGGCTCTGAGCCATCAGCCCAGAACCTGATGCGGGGCTCAAACTCACGGACCGCGAGATCGTGACCTGGCTGAAGTCGGACGCTTAACCGACTGCGCCACCCAGGCGCCCCGAGAGGTGTTTTTTAAAACGTGGAAAACCTTGGGGCATCTGGGTGGCTCAGTTGGTTGAGTGTCTGACTTCGGCTCAGGTCATGATTTCACAGCCTGTGAGTTGGAACCCTGCTTCCTGCTCTGTGCTTCAGATTCTGTGACTCCCTCTCTCTCTGTCCCTCCCCTGCTTGTGCTCTGTCTCTGTCTGTCTTAAAAATAAATAAAAGTTAAAAAAAATTTTCTTTAATGTGGAAAACCTGGCTAATAAAATTTTGTGTGCACTTGGTGATTTTTTAATTTTTTTATCTTTCTTTTTGTGAGAGAGATTGTGAGCAGGGAAGAGGGGCACAGGGAGAGACAGAGAGAGAACCTTAAGCAGGCTCCACACTCAGCGTGGAGCCCAGTGTGGGGCTGGATTCCACAACTCTGAGATCATGACCTGAGCTGAAATCAAGAGTTGGACGCTCAACTGACTGAGCCACCCAGGCGCCCCTGATCTACTCTTTATTCTCCAGAACAAGGTTTCTGCCACTCTTTTCAGTAGGAAAATGTATTTTTGCCCATTTTTCTAAGATGCTCTGGAGCACTAAGGAATGAGAAACGTCAGCTGTTAGGCTTCGATCAGCTAGGCGCACCAAAGATTCGCTCCTCTTGTGGATGCAAGTCAAAGGCATGGTGCAGGTAAGTATTTAATTCGTGAACAATAGTTGGGAGCAGATTCATTCCATGTTTAAAGGTGAATGCTTTCAGCCATGGTCTTTACATAACTACATTATTCTTGTTATTAAAAAATTTTTTAATGTTTATTTCTGAGACAGAGAGCACGAGTGGGGGAGGGGCAGTGAGAGAGGGAGACACAGAATCAGAAGCAGGCTCCAGGTTCTGAGCTGTCAGCACAGAGCCCGACACGGGGCTCGAGCTCCCAAACGGTGAGATCATGACCTGAGCCGAAGTCGGTGGCTCAACCAACTGAGCCACCCAAGCGCCCCCATTATTCTTATTATTAAAATAAATCATGGGGCATCTGGGTGGCTCTTGCTTAAGCGTCTGACTCTTGATTTCGGCTCAGGTCACTATCTCACAGTCGTGGGATGGAGCCCCACATCGGGCTCTGCACAATCTATCTCTCTCTCTCTCTCTCTCTCTCTCTCTCTCTCCTGCCCCCCGCCTCTCCTTCCCCCTCTCCCCTGCTATCGCTCTCAAAAAACAAAACAAAACAAAAAATCTCTTCTTCCATATAGCAATCTATTCATGTAGCTGCAATAGGCTTGAAAAAGCAGCTGGAGTTAATATCCCTCAACAATATCTCAGACCTTCAAGCTGCCTCAGCTAGCAGTTAATCCTCAGAAAATGCCCTATTCCTGTTATGGCTGCATCATTTATACCCTGGTTTTCAGCTCACTAGCTGCCTCTGTTATTCACTTGTGCACAATGATTTGCTTATGGTCTTGGTACTAATAAAAGTCCTCTAGTTGGTAACAAACGGACAGTGAGGCTTTTGAACTGGTTAAATACAGAGTGTGGCTAGTAACATCTCTCCTTCCCACCTTCCCACTGCTTAATTCCTTCTCAAGAATTGTTTTTGACCACACAGCCCATGTGTAAGTTCTCAACATTTACCAGAAACAAAGCCTTGTGAGACGACAAAGATTTTACTGGTAAAATCTTACACTGTGAAGGATTGTTTTAAGCCACAGTCACAGGACAGGGTGTCATTCAGGATTAACCTAAATAAAATCTTTTTCTGACCAGTTTGCACGTTCACCAAGTGGACAGAAACAAACACAATGCAGCAAATCATGTCATGCAAGAATTGTAAACTTTCTAGTTTGGATTAGGAAGGCAGAAAATGTTTACCTCCTTCTGGATTGCATGACCTCCAGTATATAGTATATTTTTTGGGAGGGTGGG